ATTATTGATCTATAGAGTAATGCATTTAAGTCTAACGGGTGCTTTTAGTTAGGGCTCAATTTGTGAAATTTTTTGCGACTGTTTAAAAAAGTCGTAGCCACTCCTAACAGTAAAGTTAATAACGGACCTTAAAAAAAGGAGTCGTCGAAATCGGGTGAAATTTGAGGTGTGAGCAGCTTTTTTGACACTAAAGAGATTTTTTGCTGGATAACACGTATAATATGACAGGGTGCATTCAATGCTCAGAAATGCGATCAGCGTATATTCTATCTGGGCAGCGCCGTTTCAGTAGATTTTCATTTCATTTAGACATCATATATATCTGTGGACTTTTGAAAAAATAACCTCTGTGCTTTCTGTAGGTTAGCATTTAGAGTAAATTATGAGGAACTTTTATTTAAAAATTTGGCATTTCTATTTAATTTTCATTAAGATATCATCTTGAACTACTCCTATTAATGACTAAAAATAAAAATATCATTCGAGAACTCAATGAACTACTCCTTTGAAGAGAATATAACCTCCCTCGAGAAAAGTTGTTTTGTCAAAAGTCCATAGATATGTATATTAGGATGGCCCAAAAATGAATGTAAAAATGTGAATTCTAGAAAACCAATATTTTTCAAATCGGAAAACTCCGTTTATTTTGAAGAGACTTCAATAACAATACCCACTTGTTTATGTTAGCATTTTTTAATACCAACGGGGACCTATACAAAATAGTTAATAGTAAAAAATGGTGAAATAAACAATTGGCCGTCTCATGAAGAGAAACAGAGTGTTCCGATCGTAAAATATTGATTTTCTAGACTTCTATACCTACATATTCTATTCTAAGAAAAATTGATTATTCCGTTATAAAATACATGGAAAACTTTGCGCGCTTTGAGCGCCATCTAACTTTTTTTGATAAAAAAAAAAATATGGGTATATAACAATCCTAGTGGTGAGAGTATTAAAGCTCCGACTTTACTTTTTTTGGGCCACCCTATTCTATATACTTGGAGTGCAGTTAAACGTGGCATTTAGCTGTCAAAATGCGAAATCGACAGTCTACTTTCCCGTGTAGGCAGCCAGAAATTCCTTTTTGCAGATTTCCAGAAATCACTATTGGAAATAAAAATTGCAAGGTGTAACTGCAACTGAAGTAACGCAAATCGCTTACGAGAAATAAATTCAACTTGCCCGTGCTGCACTAACAACTTTCACTGTTGCTGTCAAACCAATCAAGTGTTGCCGTGTGACGTGAATTTTGGCGAATTTGTACAAAATCATAAAAATGTTGCATCAGATATGAAAATATACTTGTAAATAATTTATTTTCCTGATAAAGCCTATTTAAAAATTAAAGCATTACACATTCTGTTCTTGTTTTTTGTGCATAAGGGTGTTTTTAGTAAATTTTTCAGGTCTTTAATGTTGTTATAATCATAAAATGTCTGGTAACGCATCTGAAAGTGGAAATTTCTGAATTTACCGTAGAAACAGACTAAAAGTAATATCGAAGAGCTAGATTCTCGGTAATAATAACTGCTTCCGAAAATCACTTTACATGCAAGGTGGAACTGCTCCTGCAATCGCTTTTGGTAATTCTTGATATTGACAGATTTTTCAAAAGAACTTGCACTTGCCACGTCTAACAGCTGTCTTTTCAATAATATACATAGGTTGCCAACCGTACTACATTATAAAGTATTGTACTATTTTTTTTTTTTGGTCGGCGTACTATATATTTTTGGAAAAAATATAGGATGCAAAAATACTATATTTCTTCAGCTATAAATATAAATATATTTCAGTGATTTGCAAGAAAAAATGTGTATCAAATTGAATGACCTTTATACTGAAATAACAATACTAAAAGAAATATTCTTTAAAATAAATGGTCAAAATAAAAGTGGCAACATTTTTAAAAAAATTTTTCCTTTTTTTTAATAAAATACTATCTATTTTTAAAGTGTACTATATTTTTTCAGATTTTTTTGGAAAAGTACTATAAATATAAATACAAAATGTTGGCAACCCTAGATATACATACATATAACTCTTCGAAATTGGATTAGAAATGAAAGAGTCGTGCGGCTATAGCAGTAACTTTCAAATTTAAAAAATCCTCTTAATGCTTCTAAGGTATTTGTATCAGAGTAGTGTTCTTCAGCTTACCAATGGTCTATATACATTCAAGTAAAGGCAGTCCTCAACGCCTTCCACCACAGGATTGGGAAGTATGTAATTTTTTTGCACACAATCTTCTTTTGCCTTGGTTGCATCCAAAATACCCCACCAACGTGGAAAGGCTTTGGGGTTCTGGAAATGTTAGTAGAAATATTTATTTATGTACATGTTTGTATCCTCCTTATGATTTTTCAACAAACTTACGGCAAATCGCAGCTCACCCACCGGCGGCAAAGCATATGGTATACCTAGAAAAGCCTCAAAGAGTTGCGTCTGAAAGCCGGCCATGTATTTGCCTTGCAAGCAGCCCATATTATGTCCACAAACTTTTGGTATATCCGATTTAATTAATACAACAGGTTCGTCAGCGGAAAATCTCATTGTCACTGTTGTTGTTGTTACTTGATAGCATAACAATGTCAACAATGAGGTAATCAAAATTGCCTGCCAGATATTTGTTGGTAGGGCAATCGATGGGAGAAAAGTGGCATTAATCGGCATTACCACCTCCGCCGGCATTAGCATTGCCAACATAATTCGATTTATGTGAATGTACTTATGTATCTACATACGAATTTATCAATTTATTTATTTTTTTTTGTTACAATTGGCGATTAAATCTTCTTAAGAGCTGTGCACTACGCCGAATGATTTGCGCAAGGCAAATTTATTGCCTAAATATCGGCTGCCGGCCGTCTAGATTCTAAACCAAAATGTTTGCATGGATTTGTGTACGAGTGCTGCATATGCATGTATGTATGTATGTAAATAGTTTGATTCATTCGTTGGCAGCTATGTTTTGTCTCATAATTCCGATGATTCCAAATTTTGCAAGTCATCAATCTGAAGCTACATACATATGTACATATAAGGAAAACAAGTACAAGTCATTAGCGAGAGTAAATAAATAAAGTTCCATATACGGTAAGCAGGTTGAAAACCGTAAGTAAACTTAAAACTATGCTGCTATCTTCAAAACTATTGTATGTAAATATTTATTCTTACTGAATACATGCATAAGTATATAATATATTCATGGGGCGTTCCATACCAAAACGGATGGGGTTCACACTTCATGTGTTTGATTTGTTTCAAATTTTTAGGGTTGATGCATAAACATAAATAATAAACAAATATGAAATTTGGCCTTGATTAATACATTTTTTAAACCTTTATAGCACAAAAACAAAAACAAATCGATTTAATAGTTTTCCAAATATCTCGAGAACGAGGTGAGGAAAAGATTTGAAAAAAATCACACATACACACATCAAAATTCTCTATGAAAATAAATATTTTTTTAATTTATTTTCTTAAAAAATTTTCACATACAAATTTTTAGATTAAAAAAAAATACAAATTTTTTAAATTTTTGTTAGATTTTTTTTGAGGATGCAGTTTTGTAGCCCACTAACTTAGTATAATAAAGTGCAAGTTTTAAGCACCTGCAAAACTGGCCTTAATTAATTTATTTTTTTTTTAATTTTCTTTGAAAACGGTTTTGCGCATTTTCTTCCATAAGAAAAAAGTGCAAAAAGCCGTCAGCATAAAAAATATTAAAAATCAACGCAATTTTTCAGTTGCTTAAAACTGCTTGCTCAAAAATATTCTAAAAAAAATTTTAAAATTTGTAAATTTGTAATGTACCATTTTACTCAACTTCGGTGTAAAAAAAAATTCATAGTTCAAATTATTGTAGAGTGCACCCCATAATGCTATACTTATATATTGCGCAATACTCAGAGCTACATTGTGATTTTTTTACAATTTTTTTTTTGAGATGGCATATTTTAAAAAACAAATTTTCTCGAGATATTTGGAAATCTATTAAATCGATTTTTTTTGTTTTTGTGCTATAAAGTTTTTAAAAATGTATTAATCAAGCTCAAGTTTCATATTTATTTATTATTTATGTTTATGCATCTACCCCAAAGATTTGAAACAAATCAAACACATAAAGTGTGAACCCCGTCCGTTTTGGTATGGAACGCCCCACATACATACGCTCGTTCATAACAAATATTTAGTGAAGACACCATTTTCTTGTTGCACATAAATCAGATCAGATGTAAATTTTTGTTATTACGTTAAATAATTTCTCTTATGTTAATATTAATATACTCAATGCTATTTTTAAATATTTAGTGTGAATAACTAGTTTCATTTCTCTGGTACAAGAAAGTGGAAATCACATTTCTTCGCTACAAATCCCTCTACTTTGACGATGTCTGACGTATGTTCACCAGGAGCTGCGGCTGCATGTGGCCGTCGGTCTTGGAGCAAGCGGTTCGCTATATAAAAGTGTTTCCAAAAGTTAAACTAGTCTCTTGTTGGGCGGTGGGGTTGGGATCCGCCACGTGAAAACCCCTGGCATCGAAAAAAAAATCAGCCTCAGATTACCCCTTTGATGAAGACCCTGGAATGCTTGGACCCTTAATGAAGAAATCGCAACTGCATGGCTAGTTGACGTCTGCGCGAAGACAAGAAATGCGATGGATAACACGATGCGATGAGGCAAGGAAAACAGCAAGTGGGACCTTGCGACGTCTGCTACGGCCGTCATGTAAACGAGCGCAAATTCGGCGATGGATTTGTGGTAGCCGAGCACTGTCGTTCACCCCAGTGGTCGAGCGTCTCGTCACAATCCGCAGTAATTCGAGCGTCTTTAACGTCGCGCTTATTTGTGTCCATACTCCGACGGCAAAGAAAAATTAGGCGTCCAAGGATCTCTTCTATGAGCGCTTGGAGCGTTACTCCGTCATGATATCAAAATCGTGGTCGGTGATTTCAATGTCAGAGGGAGCAAGGAAGGGACCTTTGGTCGCATCGTCGGAAAATTCAGCCTCCACGACGAAAGTTCCGGTAAAGGACTGAGGCTGATCGACTTCGGTGGGGCCGACGAAACATGGTAGTATCCAATAAAGATTTTCAGCATTACAAGAGCCATCAAGTAACATGGCTGTCTCTAGATTGAAAATTAGGAATCAAATCGATCATGTTGTGATAGGCGGAAGGCACGCTTCCTGCATTTAAGAGACATGTACCATCCGAGAGCCAAACATCGACTCAGATCCATATCTTGTAGCAGCCAAGATAAGCGCTCGCCTCTGTGCAGCAATAATGTGCATCCAGCAATACAAGGAAAGCTCAAAGTTGAAAAGCTGAAATTTCAGCAGACGGCCAAGTTGTTCACCGCTGGACCCTCACAGCTGCTCCCTGAGAGCACTCTTCAATAAAAAATCAACGTATGCAAGCAGTGGAACCACATTTCTTCTTCATTAATTACCGCCGCCGAAGAAGTAGTCACATTTCAACGAGCCCGAAAGAACAACTGGTACGATCAGGAGTATCAAGAAGCTGCCTACAGGGCCACGCTGCTATCGGGCGCAACGCGAGCCACGTGGGACCGATCTAGGGACCTTGCCGCAATAAGAAGAGAGAATACGTGAGTGCGAAGAGCTTGATATGCTAGTCGAAAGGAAAAACGGTCGAAATTTTTATCACAAAATTTGGCGACTTCCGGAAGGTTTCAAGACCGGAGCGAACTCCTGTAAGAACAAACATGGCGACCTAGTGACCGATGTTCGGAACATGCCTAAATTATTGAGCGAACATTTTTCCACCCTTCTGAATGACAACATCAATGAAAGTAGTGGAGAAGACAAACCCGAGCCCCAGTCGATGACGATGGAGTTGATGTTCCACCGCCTGACTATGACGAGGTACGAATAGCGATTGTGTGACTGAAAAACAACAAAGCTACTGGAGCTGACGGCCTGCCCGCCGAACTATTCAATCACGGCGGCGAGTAACTGATAAGGTGCATGCATCAACTCTTATGCAGAATATGGTCAGATGAACGCATGCCTGACGACTGGAATTTAAGTGTGCATCCAGCAATGCCCAATCCACAAGAAAGGCGACCCCGCCAAAAGCGCCAACTACCGCGAGATTCAGCCTTCTAAGCATAGGTTACAAGTTTTTATCCAGCGTATTGTGTGAAAGACTGACACAGTGTCAACGAATTGAGTGGACCTTATCCACCATAGACCAGGTATTCACAATACGTCAAATCTTGGAAAAGGCCTGCGGGAAAATTATCGACACTCACCACCTTGTTGTCGACTTCGAAGCCGCTTTCGCGACCACTTAAAGTTGTTGTCTATGCGCCGCGATGTCTGAATTCGGTATCCCCGCAAAACTGATACGGCTGGATAAAATGACGTTGAGCAATACCACCAGAATTGGGAAATGCCTCTCCGGGCCATTTGCTACCAAACTCTACCGCAAAACTGAACTGCTCACTAACAATTTACTACAATAGCGTGCAATTTCTGGCGTACGCTGGCGACATCCGCATGATCGGTAACAAAAACGGCGAAGTCTGTTCTGCGTCTTCCAAGTTGGATATCGAAAGAAAGTGGACGAGGACCAGACGAAGTATCTCTTGTCATCAAACTAAAGGTCAGCGCATTCTGTTCGAATGAGAGTAATAATTTCGTTTACTTGGGAACCAACATTAACATTGATAATAATGTCAGCATCGAAATTCAACGTAGAATCACTCTTGCCACCAAGTGCTACTTTGGACTGAGTAGGCAATTCAAGAGTAAAGTCCTCTTTCAAACAAGCAGAAGCAGGAACAATGACAACAACCGATGACATGGCTCTTAGAGTATTCGAGACAAAGATTTTGCGGAAGATTTACGGGCCTCTACGCGTTGGCGACGGCGAGTACCGCAGACTATGAAACGATGAGCTGTATGAATTTTACAACGGCATGGACATAGTGCAGTGTATGAAAATGCAGCGGCTCCGCTGGCTTGAGCATATCGTTCGAATAGAATCCGACGCTCCAGCTCTGAAAGCATTCAACTCGGAACCCGCTCGTGGTAGCAGATGTAGAGGGAGGCTCACGCTGCGATGGAAAGACCAAGTGGAGAAGGACTTGAATTCACTTTGCGCTTCCAATTGGCATCAGTTGGTACCAGGGACGTGAACCGGTTTCGAACCGAACCGGTTCTAAACCGGAAAACCGCCTTTTTCTATTAATTAACTGGACCATTAACCGAACCGAAATTGTCCACAAATGTTTGATCCGAACCGAAAACCGAACCACTTTCCATAAAGGTTTAAATCAATCAATTTTCAATAGATAAATGCACTCACTTCGTTTCTTTTTGTTAAACATGGTAATGCCTAGCACGTTTGTTTACCATGTGACAATATATAATGTAAAGGCAACCCATCTCATTTGACATACACTTGACCCTTAACCTTGCGCGTTGTTGCACTTGACACTGGACGCTTAAACTTGTGCATTATTTTTTTGTTTTGCGAACCGTTGAACGGAACCGAAACCCCGGTTCAAAGACCAAAAAAAACCGCTTTGACGAACCAATCCAAAAGTGCAGAAACGGTTCGAACCGCTGAACCTAACCGACCAAATTTGTCATCTGGTTCACGTCCCTCGTTGGTACAGAAGAGAAACGACTGGTGTACTTTGTTGAACTCGGCCAAAATCGGCGATAACAGCGCCAATTAAGAAGAAGAAGAAGCTGCAATACAACCGTATAGAGTGATGCGAAAGGTCCTTCATCACAAAACAATTTCATTATTTGCCTTCCTGTGCACTAAGTACTTATGTACTGAATATAGTTGTACATCGCCGGTCACATTTGCTTTCAAACGAAACTCTTAATTACCCAAATAATGTACATACATATACATGTAATTTCCCAAATAACACATTATATAGATGTTAATCACCTTTTTACAAGTTAGATATAAATTTATTATTATCGTGGAAATATTTTTCACTTTTCACCGCACAGATTTTCGCACCAATT